AGTAGCCATCAGAAGATGGAGACACTGTGCTCATAAAGGGATGGACATGGTCAGCAGCAATACTCAGGTAGGCTGTGGCGTTGACACCATGCTCAATTGGTACTAATGGACCCAAAGAAAATCTCCCCCACACCATTACACCACCACCACCAGCCTGAACCGCTGACACAAGGCAGGATGATCCATGCTTTCATGTTGTTGAGGCCAAATTGTGAGCCGAGCATCTGAATGTGTCAGCAGAAATGGAGACTCATCAGAGCAGCAACGTTTCTCCAATCTTCTATTGTCCAGTTTTGGTGAGTCTGTGTGAATTGTAGCCTCAGTTTCCTGTTCTTAGCTGACAGGAGCGGCACCCGGTGTGCTCTTCTGCTGCTGTAGCCCATCCGCCTCAAGGTTGGCCGTGTTGTGTGTTCAGAGATGCTCTTCTGCAGAGCTCGGTTGTAACGAGTGCTTATTTGAGTTACTGTTGCCTTTCGATCAGCTGGAACCAGTCTGGCCATTCTCCTCTGACCTCTGGTCTCATCAACAAGGCATTTGCGCCCACAGAACTGACGCTCACTGGATATTTCCTCTTTGTCGAAGCATTCTCTGTAAACCCTAGAAATGGTTGTGCATGAAAATCCCAGTAGATCAGCGGTTTCTGAAATACTCAGAGCAGACTGTCTGGCAGCAACATGACACATTCAAAACCTCTTAAATCCCCTTTCTTCCCCATTCTGATGCTCACTTTGAACTGCAGCAGATCAGCTTCACCATGTCTACATGCATAAATGCATTGAGTTGCTGCCATGTGATTGGCTGATTAGAAATGTGCGTTAACAAGCAGTTGGACAGGTGTACCTAATAAAGTGGCCGGTGAGTGTACATAGAAAATAAAGACATCCCCAGCTAACTAAGTATAATTGTTACAGAAATAATAACATCACCCTTTTGGCTTTGTTTTTATGCATGTACATTTAATTTTACTGACTTTTTTTTTAAAGATGAATGCTTATACGGTATGAAGGTATTATGCATCTATTTCTACGGTTTATAATTGAAATGTGACATGCATATGTACAATATCGCTTTTTTGTTGTTGTATGATTTTTTTTAAAGTTGCATTGTTAAAATTGAATATTAAACTAATCAAAAATAAAAGCAAATAACAAACACTGTACAGTCTGGATGCACAAATACTGAAGGACACATTTTCAATAGTGTGCTTTCGGTGTGGTGGCCGTTGGGAAAACATCTTCCTTTTGTTCCTGAAATGAAACAAAATAAAAGAAATGTTAGCATATATAGATTTAAAGTGCATGCATTTTCTTAAAAGTGCTTTCAGATGTTCTTGATCAACATATAGATCCTGACCCAATGCTTATTATATTAGGACATTCTGATTATACATATTCATTGAGCAGTCCACAACAGAAATTCCTTGCATATTGTTTGATTACAGCCAAAAAGCTGCTATTGTTGTATTGGAAAAATGTTATTCCTCCAACTGCCAAACTATGGCTTGAAGAATTGATATCTACTCTGCACCTGGAACGAACAAGATTTATTTTAAAAAGCAATATTGGACAATTTCAGAAAATTTGGGGCCCTTTCTTTTGTTACTTCATGGGGAATTCTTCCCCCAAAGCAATGTATTGTAACTAAAAGTTGTTTTGATTATCACTGTAGTGTATACTTACAGGCTGGGCTTGGGGTGTTTTGTTTGTTTGTTTTGTTTTTGTAAATGTATGCATATCAGAAAACTAATCCTGTGATTATTGTAAGTTTATTCAACGACCAAATAAAAAACTTATTTGACAAAAAATTGCATGCATTTTGATGTAACGAAAAGTTTTGGGTTCAGCTTGTGTTAAGGGTTTTTAAAGCAAAAGACATTGACTTAAGCATTATTGGAAACATTATTTTAGCTTGTTTATTTATTCATTCATTCATTCATTTTCTTGTCGGCTTAGTCCCTTTAGTAATCCGGGGTCGCCACAGCGGAATGAACCGCCAACTTATCCAGCATATGTTTTACGCAGAGGATGCCCTTCCAGCCGCAACCCATCTCTGGGAAACATCCACACAAACATACACACACACACACTACGGACATTTTAGCCTACCCAATTCACCTGTACCGCATGTGTTTGGACTGTGGGGGAAACCAGAGCACCCAGAGGAAACCCAAGCGAATGCAGGGAGAACATGCAAACTCCACAAAAAAACGCCAACTGAGCCGAGGTTCGAACCAGCGACCTTCTTGCTGTGAGGCGACAGCACTTCCTACTGCGCCACTGCTTCACCTTAGCTTGTTTATTCATTTCAAATACTTAAATTGAACCTGAAATATTCCTCAATCAGTATTATGATGATGTTTGTGTTTACACTCATTAAATGCATATTTATATAAATCAATGGTCTCAAACTCAGTTCCTGGAGGGCCGCAGCTCTGCAGCGTTTAGCTCCAACTCACACCTGCTGAATAGTCTTGTAGTCTTGAACACCTTGATTTGTTGATCAGCTGTGTTTGATTAGGGTTGGAGCAAAACTATGCAGAGCTGCGGCCCTCCAGGAATTGAGTTTGAGACCTTTGATATAAAGGAATGCATCTGCTTTTTCTGATATCAACGTTTCTCTGTTAAAGGGACAGTGCATCCAAAAATGGAAATTTAATCACTTTTTCCTCATCCTTAAGTGGCTCCAAACCTTTAACAGTTTCTTCATTCTGTTCAGCACAACCGAAGAAACATTTGGAAGAAAACTGGAAACCTGTCACCATTGACTTCCATTGTAGAAAAATAAATATTATGGAAGTCAATGGTGACAGGTTTCCAGTTTTCTTCAAAATATATCCTGTGTTAGACAGAATAAGGTTTGAAACAAATAAACAGAGAGTACATGATTACAGAGTTTTCAGTTTTGGGTGAACTGTCCCTTTAAGATCTGCGTAAATCATTTATATATATATTTGTTTATTTATTTAGAGCAAAAAAACATCGACTCATGCATCATCAGAAAACAATTGAAGCTTTTTTCTTTTTACACAAATGAACTTGAACCTGAAACATTGATCAGATGTTTGTGCTGGTGTGTGTGTGTGTGTGTGTTTACACTGATGTACTGATCCATCCACGTCAGGAGCTGAGTGACTCTGGTGTAAACGCCGGGTTTATTGGGTCGAGCGCATCCTTCACCCCAGCTGACCACTCCAGCCAACCTCCAGTCCCCTGCTGCTGTCCTGCACACCAGAGGACCACCACTGTCCCCCTGACACACACACACACACACACACACACACACACATATATGAGAACACATAGATCCACACACACACACACACACACATATATGAGAAACACACATGAGAAACGCAAGCATACACACACACATTTGAGAGACACACACACACACACACACACACACAAGAAACACACACAAGAAACACAAGCATACACAAGAAACACACACAAGAAACACAAGCATACACACACACAAGAAACACACACACACACACACACACACACACACACACACACACACACATATAT